AACAAATACGCCAAATCCGTTCCCCTTTCCCACCAGACATTTAGCATACCTGCTGCTTAAAATGATGGCATAACTTTCTCGCAAGCCTCTGGAACACTAGAACTAAGGAGAAGAAAAATAAGATATTTCCTTTCTCCTGACCGGCAACTATTAAAACTTAGACTACTGAAATACTAAACCACGAGTGTAAACTAGCTGTTAAGATACTAAGGACAAAGGAAAAAGAACTAGTGTTTTGAGAACTTTATTTTTAATTGCTATTTAGGAGCGCTCAGAAATATCAAACCACTTTGCAGTGTCTTACGTGGTATATCCAAAAATCTGTAGTACTGTCTAGTGATTAAGATATTGTGTTGTTTACATTATTCTTGGTACCCACATAATATTCTTACTGTATTTGACAAGGACTGTTTAAGAGTTGATAGTGCTGCGCAAGACCACTTCTCTGATCTGCAAACACAGTAAGATGCATTATCTTCGGAATTATGTTAGCTCTAGTGTTAACCACAGGATGAAGGATGCCATCTCCGCAATGAACCTCATTTTAGCACAAGGTAAACATACTTCCCCCACATCAGCTAGTCTCACAGCATTAGTGGTGTGTTGTGATTGATTACCAGCAGAGTGTTGCTGAGATATGGATTTGTATCTCAGCTTTTTATCACTATGACTTGCAAAAGGCAGTTCCTTATTTACAGACTCTAGCTGTATTAAGTGACATTATTAGGTACTACTTTTGTTTAAGTGACACAAAGGCTTAGCATATTGGTGGTTTATGACACACAAGCTGTTTTAATCTGATGACTTACCCCTCACTTTTTCAATTTGTAAATAGGAGCTGCAGCACAAGAACATATGGTACTAAAGAAATTAAAGCTAAAGTAAATGGCATTAAAACAAATTCAAATATAACAATAGGATACTCAATCAGAATTATAAACCTGGATCTGTATTAAGACTTTTAAAAACAGGAAATAAAAACCTAAATATGAAAATTAACCTTTCAGGTGCTTTTTTTAAAGACCATTTCAGGGGTTTACTGTGATTGAGTAATTTCCTTATTAACCCTTATTACTTAGATCTTATAGTTAAATTAATAAATCAGTAAAGACACTTTTTAATAATTGAAACTAGGTAGAGTACCACATTACTAGAAATTAGTTGTTTACCTTTTTAACTTCAGGGTTCATACCACATCTGATACAGTAAAAATACGTTATGCATTCTCAAATGTTTATTACAGTAAATACACTTGCTTATATCTATAAACACCACCATTGAGCACAAAACCAAAAAAGAGCCCAGCAAAACTGCCAGCCTAATGCTCAGATTCCATACCAAATATCAATAAAAAGGCAACGAAAAGAAAAATTACATTTTCCTAACTTTGTAATACTATAGCAGCTTACTCAAAAAAGGAATTTCATTATACTTTTCATGTAAATAGGAAGATTTCCCTCATTATTATTCTGCAGATAAGCTCCAACCTCAAGCATATGAAGCATCATGTAAAGGGTCCAAAGTAAAGATGTTCCTTATGTACTTAAATTTTAATTTAAGTACATGCTTAATTTAGACCAATCAATTTGATATATGGTATTAGTTCCATCAGCTTGTAATCCAACCATGACTCCATCGAAGACAGTTTTTTGGTACAGCCTTACACTTAGGGCACTCTGACAAAAATAATTTTTCTCATACGATGTATTACTTCAGCTAAGTATAGCAGCAAAAGTATTTTTATGCCACCATAAAGACTTTCACATAACTGCCACTGCCATACTGCATTTCTACTCAACTGAAATATCTCTTTTCAGAACAACTTATTCGAATTCTGTATGATTTTTTTATTTTTCATTTTTATTATAGCTTGGAAGGTTGGTTTGTTGTTTTTGTTGGGTTTTTTTTAATCTACAGGTATCTACTTGGCTGTTTGCAGCAATGAAGTATCTCATATGTGTAATTTTACAGAGAGCAAATTGTAAACCGAGTTCTCCATTCTCCTATCTATATATATAAGCCATCCTGAGAAGTATATTCATGAATGAAACAGAATTGGAAGAAGGATCTGATTTTAGCATCCTCTTAGGCTTCGGAATAAGAATCATGTATGATAGGGCTTCTCAGCATAAAAATCCCTAACTTAAAATCTGTGAATATGCCAATGCTGACATTGATGGTGTCAATGCAGACTAAGCACAATTCCGACTAACATGACTATAAGGATTCTCCTTCTGGGGCCACAGGAGAAGCAGCTGCTTGGAGGTGGTTTCGCTCTCAGCTGCGTGATGTTGTACTGCCATCATTCTGACGTCTCCAGTAACCGGCCACCTCATAATATCTAACCATTAGTTGGCAAACACCAGCAAAGAAGGAACCAGAGGTTCAAATACCTAATTCGATAATATTTCTGGCACCTGATACTTTGTATTTACTGTACTGTAGTAAGTTTGCAAACATGACAGCACCTATTCAGTATCACTCCCCAAAACAGGAGACAAGTTAGTCAGGGAAAGCTGAGCAGTTCACTGTAATAAAAACAAACAATCCTCTGACCTTATGCACTTTTGAGTCACTGCATTCAAGTATCACTCAAAGACTTCTCATTTTAATAAAGCAATTAGTAGCCTAACATAAACACCGCCACTCATGACAATTTCTAGGCTTTGCTCACTTAAAGAGTGCCTGCATTTGTACCTTTCTCTGGCAGCGAGACACCCCAGGCAGCGCTGCTGGCCGTTTGGGATCCTAGCCAAGGCCTTTCCTCAGAGTTTTGACAATCTTTTTTTCAAAAACCCAACTCAGGTTAATTCTTCTCAAGGAAGTATCAACAACTAGCCAGTTCTCTGTACATCTGCTGCTGCTATTTGCTTTGAAGAATCTTGTGTCTGAATTAAGAGAAAAAGTGCATAGCACAGTGATTCACTGAAACAGGGAATCTGATTAGACAGTTGCCTGAACACAGACACATATCACAATTTCCCCCCCCCAACAAGAACAATTTGCTTTGTGAATAATCCAGTGTCAGCTATGAGCATAAAGTACAGACATCGATGTTGAGAATGTACTCTTCTGTAAAGGAAGGGTCTCCTGACCAGATGGAGAGATCTACCTCTTCAACAGCCACTAAAGACAGGAGGAAAGGAGATAGGCACTAACAAACGAAAGCATTTCCATGTAGATCACTTCTCCCTCTAGATACAAGTTATGATGTAAGAACTAAGAAAGCTTGCACGTCACTTTCCACACATTAGCCTTTATGAAACACACACAGGAAAACAGGAAAAGGACGCTGCATCCCTCATCCTCCTTACATTTTATATTCAAATTGAAGAAACCTTACAGCTAGGGCAGAAATTGTTCTGCTGGCTATTCATTTGATTACCTCAGGGTTTCCAGAAAGGCTGACATCCTGCTAAGTACAAACCTCTCCTGAACTTCAAGACTCAGACAAGCAAGGAAGAAGATGCTCCGAGAAACTCAGTTTGTGTCTTCTATCAGTGTACACAGAATTCAGGTTTCCATTACAGGTCATTCTGCTCTGGGAAATTCATATTTCATCTAAATTACTACTCCCATAGGAGCCAGAAAATTTCTTCAACTTGGTAAGAAAAGTGGGTTGGGGTTTTTTGTTTGGTTTGTTTTTTTCCTTGGGTAAATGGTAATAGCGTTTGATTTATGGAAAAACTAAATGCTTTGTCTTCCCCTTCGAAACGCAACAGAGCACGAGCTCCTTGTTTCTGTCCACGAGTGACAGAAGTGTAAGCAGAAGCTCCAGCGGTACTGGCACTTGGTGAGAAGGGCAGATTAGAGGCAGGTGCCTGAAATGTCTTGCCTCAACACTGGAGTGGAAGAAACAACAAATTCAACCCCTCAGAAGAGGGTATGAATGGTATCCTTGCTTTCTGGTTCTAGGTCTTGACTAAATCCAGACACTGAATCTCGACAGAACGTTGACAAGAATTTTGTCATTGATTTTACTAAGGACAGAATCCCTTTCAGCTGCTTAATACAAATGAAGCAACGGCACCTGAAGGCATGCTGGTGAAGTTGGCTGTCTTCATGGTAGCTAAACTCTTAAAGGATTTATCTATCATAAATGGTAGCTGGCTGCAAGGAGCATTCCGTAAAATTCTCTACCTTCACAGCACAGGACTTTAGCTATGGGCCAGACAGTAATTCTTCTTAGGGTAATCGTGAGGATGAAGTGGATACAAAAAGGCAACAGAATATCTTGCTTTTAAGATTCAAATCACCTGTGCAAAAGCTGATGTCTCCACAAGGTGCTGAACAGAGGTAATGGTCAAACATGCTTTTGGGAAAAAACCCTGCATTTCTCTGTGATCATGATTTCTGATTATTTTTCCAATGATAGCCTAAAAAAGAAGCTGCTGAAAACATTTTGTCACAAATCATTCCAAACTTCTGTTGAGTCTGTTTGCACACGGACAAGTAAGCATTAATATTTTTTTCCTTTTTATTTCATCTTGTTACCTGGCTTTTCAGATAACTTAGGAAAATTACTACTTTTCCAGCCATAATCAGAAAAGTTAAAATATTGTTACATTGAAATATAGAGATACACTAAAGTATAATTTTGAAAGCAAAATCCCCAAAGCTATTGCAGAGACAAAATGTTCACTTCTTAATGTTTAAAATACAGAAACAGTTTTGCCTTAAGACCAAGCCCTTGAGTCTGCCATCTGTACTGCACTTTATGCAGAGAATTTGAGAGCATTCTCCCAGGGAAGACGACCTAAGGAAAGGGCAGAGCAAAAATATCATCTGCCTACACTTCCTACAGAGACAAAAGACACCGAGAAAGACAGCCTGCCATAAACACAGTTTACAACATTTTACTGTACATATAGAAGAAGAAAGAATAATTTATGAACCTCATACTTTATGATTTAGGATACAAAATATCGCAAATCCTTTACAGATTAGCAGGCCTACTTAAGTAATCATTAATTTACAAAGCAAGAAACTCTAATACTTACATAGCTGTGACTCTTAAGGAAATCTGAAGGGTTGCTTGTGCAGACTTTATCCCCTTCCAAGCCAATTACTCTTTTACAGATATTTGATTTGGGGTCATTTGGGCTTTTCACAATTACAATATCTCCTCTGAGAGGAAAAAACAGAAACAAAAACAAACAGAAGAACTCTAAGTACAAACTATTTGGCTGAATACACGTGCATCAATGTGTATGCTCCAAAAATATTCACATACATTAAAGATACTTCCTTCTGCTGAAAATTCTTGTCTACTATTTTGTGTCTTCAGTTTTATTCAGGGTGTAATTTGACACACAGTTTCTTTAAGTACATTTGGAGACATTCTTTGTTATTTAGATCATTTATAAAACATTTAAAACTACATTTTAATTGACAATGCTCTGATGAAATGAATGCCATTTCACTTGATCCAGTTGCTATATATAAATGGAACAGAACAGATTTTGTGTTCCTAAATGTTATTGTCCAAATGTTATTCTTCCAGTGAAACCTCAAATGTCTACTCTGAGTTTGTAAGACCTTATATTACTTTTGCCTCCTGATTATACAGATCAGATTGCACAGTGAAACAGTCCACAAAATGGGCGAGGGCCTTGAGCCTACTGTTCTCTACAACACAGTAATAAAATGACATTTGATAAAAGCTACTCATACCATTTGGTCACTTTCCTAACGACCTATCTGAGCACAGCAATACCTACTGCTTGGTTTTCAGGTAAGACGAAACTGCTTAGAGACACAATAGAACTGTTTCAGGAAAAAAAAAATGGGAATTTTTTCCATTTTTTGGACAAAGCTGTAAAAGTGACATGGACTATATCCTAAATGAATTCTGACAAGTTGCTCGATGGGCTGTATGTGCTGATTACTTTAGCTTCCATCAGACACAATGAGAGGGGATTTATGAGAAATCACAGTTTAGAAGCAGAAGAATGTATGAAAAATAAAGGATGGATAGAACGTAGTTATTGACAAGCTCTGGCAAACAGAATGTAAAATCTAGTCTCAACGAAGGAGCATACTTTCGAATGCAATACAAGTGGCGGCTAAGGTTCTCCGAAAAGACAATATCAGAATTTTGAATGGTTGGTTCCATTGAAGGTCCAGAACACTGCAAATTAAAAATAAATGAGAAAAAAAATTACTATTTCCAATTACTTTTAACTAAAATACATTAATATTCAAATTATTTGCTAATAAATTAGAAAAGGTGTAATGTAAAGAACAACTACAAAAGTGAGATCCTCCAAGGAACATCTGATACATTTAGAAGGTGAGGACAGCCTCCAGAGCACCTCTAACTCTGCTACAGCTCCGTATTCGCCCAGGATTGGTCCTGAACTGCGCTAGGTGCTACGGGCCCCTACAGATTCACTTCAGCACCCGACCTGCAGGAAACTATTAGGAACAGCACTCGAAGCTCTGCCAGCTTACCCCTTTCTTCAGCCTCGGGAAAAAAGAATCATCACAGAAGCCGCAAGAGCAGCTCACAGCCAAACCCCACTATATCCAGTAGTATAGCAGCACTATCTGCTAGGTTTAGAAACAAGGAGGAAGGGGAGGCAGCATAAAACATCCAGAAATCTGCCCAGAGCTGGAAACAAGAGCATTCCCTCTGGCATTGTTAGTGACTGCAGTCTTTCTGGAAGAATGTATTCTCTGCAAAATGCTCAATCATAGTCTCCCATTTGCTTCAGTGATGCTTCAAGCAATAACTTAGCAAAAAATACAAATGCCTGAAGTAGAAATAACTTTCATGAAGGCTGCACCTGTCTCCAAAAAAGAGGCATTTACTAAACACACTTTGAAAAAGCTTTATAAAAAATGAAGAAATCTTAAATATTGGCATTATCACATATAACAACTTCAGTATTACGCTTTTATTTTCTTGTAAATGTCATGAAAATGAAAAGTTACCACAACAATTCCTCCAAGGTACTCAAAGGCGCAATGTGCTATGCAGCCATATTGCACAGTATACCCAAGAAATCGAAAGGTTTTTCCTAGGACATTGCGGAGCATGGTACAGTGTTACGTCGTTCAGCCGGTTCTAGTCTACAGTAAAACAGAAGAATATCATTCATTTGATAACAAACAACCTAACATTTACAAAACTATGTTTTGTATCTAACAACTGATGGACAATATTAAAAAAAAAAAAACAGTGAATAAAACCAACAAATAATTAGATATATCTGAGGAGATGAATACAGTTTAAACTGAAATGCCATAAAGAAGTCTTTAGTTGACTATGCAGACATTTCCACATGTACAATCAATTGACCCCTCTCACCAGCTTATTAGTAAGATTCAGCTGAGTAGGAACTGAAAAAAAAAAGAAAAAAACTTTGCCAAACTGGAGAAATTAATGGGAGAGAATGGTGTCAGTGCCCTCCGCTGACTCAGCTGGGCTTCTTTCACTCGAGACTGCAGACAGGCTTACCTGCCACACGTCTAAATACCTGCAAGGGTTATGAGAACACCCTCCCCTCCACCAGGCTTGGCTGAATGGAATCTGGAAAGCTGTAATCATACCTTTAACACAGGCTTTAACTCCCTGACTGGACCACATGTTGTAACTCAGATGCAGTTATTTATTTAATAAACACTTGACAGAGTTGTTTAATCACGCGCAGACAGCGCAACTTAAATCACTGTTTTTCTTCAAGCACTAGTACTTAAAACTGAACACTCAACAGCAAAACAGAGAAGCATCAAACCATCCGAAGTGATTTAAAGATACTTCACAACTGAAATTACATTCACAGAAAACTGGAGTGATCAAGTAGTCAACCAAAACTTTAAAAGTGACCTGACAATCAATCAAATGAAAATAGGCTTGAAGAACTAGACACAATTAAGGATAATGGAGTCCTGAATGGCTTGCCTAAATATGACCAGAAAAAGAATACAGTTGTTGATAGGAATTCTGGAGGTTTTGCAAAGCTTTCCTTTGACTAGACTTTCATTACCAGAACACTTGCATATAAAAATAAGGCATTAGGTCTTTCTGTTCTCAGCTAAAGTACAGTGGCATAAGTTCTGTAGCACATAAAAGGACTCTCCATCTTCTGATCCCCTCCTCCAAATATTTGTCAAACTCTGGTGACTAATTGCAATTACTGCAATGTTAATCTAACTAATATGCTTCCTTAGCCCAATTTTTAAGAGTTTTTTTAATATATATATATTTCTATTTAAGGAAGTGGAAAAACACATACTGAAGTTAACTGAAGCAAGTCTTACATTCTGCAAGAAACCTGTCTCCCTTAAACTCAGTATAAGCTTTATCATGAGTTAAAACCACAGCAAGATTTCCCTCATTTACTAAGATGAGTCAATATAGCTTGCTAAACAAATGCAGTAAGTTAAAAAGAAAAAAGAAAGAAAAATGCTGCGTGTACAATATGCCCTACTTAATAATGAAGTAAAGATCTCCCCTTCTATATTTCATGATACTTTGCTATTTACATGCAGGCATTTAAAAGTGCATAGCTTTACTTGCACAACTCTCTCTAGAAGTTAATGGGAATTTTGTCTGAATACAGTCAAAAGTGGCTTTTGTTCCTAGCATTTAGTTATTTTTTTATGAAGAAGAGAAGGCGACTATTCTTGGGGGAAAATGTTCTCTACCAAGCTCATTTCCCTGTTCCAAAAAAGATGTACTTGGTTTTGGTTTTCGTTTGGTTTTGGGTTTCTTTTTTTTTTTTTTTTTACATAAGAGATCTCTTAAACCAATCCGTGATTCATCATCCTTAATATTAGCTAATGAGTTTCACAGTAATGAACCAAAATACAACAGAAAACAGAAAAATCTTGAATTGTTTCATTAGCACATGCGGAGCCCAGCGCACCACAGGCCGCCCTGGAGAAACTGAAACAGCGTTGCTGTAAGAGAAATGCACTTTCAGCGGAATTTCTTCTGGAGAGCCAGAAAAGTGGTGTGCTCTTCTCAACCCTGTACGCTATGAAAAGCATGGACCAACTCCTTACTCTCGGGGCCAGAAACACTGTGAGCCCAGAGATGTGTTACAGGTGATAAAAGGAAGATAGAGCGACAGCAGATCAATTAGAGTTGCACGACGAGTGTGAGTTAATGACCACAACTATCTTTTGCAAGAAGTACATCATCAATACTTCTTAACAGCACCTGCTAGAAAGGCGGCCTCACATCGCTTCTCAGACAGAAAAATACTGCAGAACCATCCTATTTCAGATCCATGCTATTCAGAAATGTTATATTAATATATTAAGAGAGTATAGAATTCGGGCATCTGTGGATATTACAGGTAAAAAGGAATTGTATAAACGTTGTGTTACATTGACCAAAGTAGGTAGATATTGTTCATGGCACCAAATGGAATGGTAACGACAGACTCATTAAGAGAAAATGTAAACTTCTCATGCCAACAGCTATCAGGCTATAACTAAAATAATTTTTTATTATGAAATTAGAAACAACTGCTATATGTCTCTGAAAATCAGTTTCAAACTGATTGCAAGTGACTTCCTGCTGGACTCTGGATGACATGTTCTTAACCCCTGAGACATGGATTTCACCAGTCCCAGTTTACAGCTGTGGCACAATGGATTTTTTTAAAGGCTCAGGCTTATCAGAAGTTCATGATAATGATGAAAAAATTCTTAGCTCGTATAAAAGGCATTTTATTACTACTCAAGAAAGTTAATTTCAAATTAAGGCATATATATAGTACCTAGATTATACACTGTTTGAACCTAACAAGGATTGGGGTTTTTTGTTTTTATCATTAAGGTCCATCTTTAGACATCTAATGTTCATTCCACAGAGTAACTACAACGCTGAAAGTTTTCGTGTAGTTTTAAGTAACAACTTCTAGTTAATCAGTGAATGGTTGCAGTAAGAGTAAGCCCAGTCAAAAACACCCAACTCTAGTTTATTAAAAAAACCCACAGAATATTTATCTCACAATTGCTGTAGCTTAAGCACCAGTAAAATATAATTGTTTCCTCAGAAAACTATTCATCAGTACATTTTTAAAACAACGCTATATTGTTGATCACAAGAAGGTAAAGGGCCGAATGTTTTTCCACATCACACAATTAATTTTAATACAAAGCGCTGTCAGCAGGCAACTCCACCAGATACAGCATAAGACCATTAAGCACAATAAAACAAATTATTTAAGTCACAGGCCCCTTGAAAACTTAATGGATCTGTTGTATAAACATCCTTATCACAGAACTAACGGCATAAAACCTGTTGCAATTACTTCCAGGTATTACCTGCTATCATATAGTAGGTAGCTGAAAATTTTATGCTGAAATAGATGTTGTTTTTATACCAAACATAGACATTGATTAAAAAAGGTTACACATCCATATTTATCACGTAGAATACAATTTGGTTATTTTACAAGAACTGTATAGTTTATCCCCTGCAGCAAATAAAATGCAAAATGTAATTACTATTATCTTCTGTTCCCTTCTCCTTACATAGCCTATGCCTTCATCATTCAAATTTTTTTGTTTGTTTGTTTATAAAATTAATCACAGCTAGCAGGGTGGAAATCACTTTGAGCCTCATGAATGACATCCAAGAGATGGGAAAGGATTAGTTCTCAGTTGCTGCCAGTTATAGCGCCAGGTGGCTTTTTCTGCAGTGAAGGTGTTACCGATAATCCCATTACATTGGTACTAAATCTTGCAGACATCAAAATTATCACCAAGGTTCCTTTTCATCCCATCCTTTCCAAATGACTGGAAGTCGCTTCACCTGAAAGAAGTCAAATCCACATGCAGCTGCTGTTTTAGCAGCCAGCGGACTCCCCGAGAATGCCAATCGTGATCCAATTTCGCTGTGCTGGTGGCCCCCTATTCCCTGTCCAATAATACATCTGTTAAAAAATCCTACAGCTACAAATCAAGTTTAATCCTACCAGGGACCTCATGTTGGTCTTGTCTTCCAAAAAGGCAGCAGGTTTTGCCGTCTATCTCTGCTAGTGTCTGGGGAATACTCTTTAAATCCCAGCCCTACTTAGAAGAATAAGCTAAGGATCACAAAACATGACCTCAAAAACCCTGATATGACTATATTCTGACCCAGAGGCATTCATTCTAGGTGAAGATTAGAACTTTGCATAATAAGATTACACAGCAAGTGAATGATATCAAGGGACTATCCATATGCAGCCGCCTGGTTTTCTATAGACAGCCTGTGCTCTGCAATATGCAGTGCAGACGAAACAGAGCTTGGTCTTTCTAGCTGAAATAAAATAGATTCACATAAATTAGTTGGCCATTTCCAGATTCCTAAATCCCCTATTACATCTTTTATTGACAGCTCCTGTGAGGATAGCACAAATGGTGTTCCCTTTGTATTCTTTGCTGCTGTAACACTCTCACTCTGAGGGAAATGTACATAGGTTGTCTAGAAATTAACATCTTGTTTGCTGTAATCTTGGATTACAATTAACTGTGTACATAATAAAATTAGGAAATCAATGAGCAGATTTATCATTTCCAGATAACCAACGGCATCGTGTAAGACAGTTTAACATATAGTGCCAAAAATTTAAATACAGGAAAATCGAAGTTGTAGCCAAGGGAAGTGTGGCTAAACAAATGATTGGACTTGATATTAAATAGATTTTTCACTATAATAAAAAATTTCCAGTTACATTTGCTTTATATAATGCTTCCCAATTCTAAATTTTCACTGAATATTTAGTGATAGTTTATCAGTTTTTCCTTAGCTAACAGAAACTCCTAACATTCTCCGCTTCTAACCAGACACCTTTCTTCACATAAGGTAATCCCATAACTTGCACCATCTCCTTCCCAAAGAGTCACTCTGAGATTATTACTTTAAAAAAAAATCAAAAACACAAAACAAAAAAAACCTGCACACTGACTAGCTGTTATTTATATTAAACTATTCTTTTAAAACTTCTGCATGAAATTAATGTGTACATGTACTAAAATAGTGAAGGGTGTACATGTTTATTGAGAAAGATTCTTCCCATATCAGATACACAACTTAATAAATATGGTTTAAATATTCTAATTATAATCTGAGGA